ATACATTGAATATTATTGTATTATTCAATATATCGCATTATATTTTCCAGTATTTATTATTCCAGTATAAAATTCAAATGGTCAACATAGAAACTGACACTTAAATACATGTAATTTGCGCTATATAGCAGGCTACAGTGTTCTTGTAATGCTCCCTGGAAGCTCCAGAGGTCGCTACAATCACACCCACACACAATGAACACTCATCAGAACAGCACATAGCAGCAACTACATAACGTGCGTATATCCAAGCAAATAATGACGGCTGCCATCGATTATTTATCAGCCTGTCTTTTGGGATGATGGTGATAATGGTGATGATGAAGAAGAAGCGCTCCTGAAGCTGCATAAAGCGTAAGATAAACAATATTTATATATGATGCTAAGTGGTTAGCAGGCTGCCTAAATTTCAGTTTGTCTGCTGTCACCACAAGCTGACTGTGTATTATACAAACCTTAATTGTTTATTAATTTGACTAATATGTACTGATGTCAAGCTGAACAGTTCATGCAGTTATTGGCTTCATCGGTATTGTTTTCACGTGACAGTTGTTGCTGGTTAGTAGCACTATGATGATGATGCATCTCCTGCTAACAGCCGATATAAAGTTGGTTCGACGTTTGACGTTGGATATTAGACAGATATTCAGCGGCGAAAAACGTCAATAAATTCTTAGAGGATGAGTATAATTGTATTAAAAAATGGCTTATCTGAAAAGCATTAGAACATAGAACTGAACACTTAATCGTCCTCTGTATGTTGAAAGGCATAAAGTCTATAGCAGCGGCGCAGTAGCGCTTAGGCCAGCTAGGGACCGTCTACAAAGTACATGTGAAAGGATAAAACGATTAAAGGGGTCATATGATGCGATTTCAAGTTTTCCTTTCTCTTTGGAGTGTTACAAGCTGATTGTGCATAGATAAGATCACTGAAGTTGCAAAGACTAAAGTCTCAAAACCAAAGAGATATTCTTGATCAAAGTTAAGACTCTGCCATGCCCCCCTAAAACAGCTTGTTCTAACATGCCCCCACATATCTACCTCACTATGTGGCAATATTAGCATAATGCGGCCCAAATGTACACGCAAAGAAAGAAGGCGTGGTTTCAGTAACCGCAGTTAGTGTTGAAGCAGCCATGTCAGGGAGACGCTGTGTGTTTCTAGAGAGAGAGAGAGAGAGAGAGAGAGAGTGAGAGGGAGAGGGAGAGAGAGAGAGAGAGAGAGAGAGAGAGAGAGAGAGAGAGAGAGAGAGAGAGAGAGAGAGAGAGAGAGAGAGAGAGAGAGAGAGAGAGAGAGAGAGAGAGAGAGAGAGAGAGAGAGAGAGAGAGAGAGAGAGAGAGAGAGAGAGAGAGAGAGAGAGAGAGAGAGAGAGAGAGAGAGAGAGAGAGAGAGAGAGAGAGAGAGAGAGAGAGAGAGAGAGAGAGAGAGAGAGAGAGAGAGAGAGAGAGAGAGAGAGAGAGAGAGAGAGAGAGAGAGAGAGAGAGAGAGAGAGAGAGAGAGAGAGAGAGAGAGAGAGAGAGAGAGAGAGAGAGAGAGAGAGAGAGAGAGAGAGAGAGAGAGAGAGAGAGAGAGAGAGAGAGAGAGAGAGAGAGAGAGAGAGAGAGAGAGAGAGAGAGAGAGAGAGAGAGAGAGAGAGAGAGAGAGAGAGAGAGAGAGAGAGAGAGAGAGAGAGAGAGAGAGAGAGAGAGAGAGAGAGAGAGAGAGAGAGAGAGAGAGAGAGAGAGAGAGAGAGAGAGAGAGAGAGAGGGTCACATCACAGTGGAGTCAGCTGTCTTATCAGCTGTCTTA